CGAAATGTAAAACGGGCGAGAAATCTGTCGGAGAGAATTAGTTTCGGTCAGGAATTCGCTAAAAATAATTCGATATGAGACCGCCCCTAGGAAGAACAAATAGCATAGGCCGTTTGAACCACGCGTTAACAAACGAGGGTTATAAGAAGCACGGGTTCCTTGACACGGTTGGAGGAATCTTGAACTAAGATGTTTCTAAAAAAAGACTATGTTACGTTGCGCAGGGGTTCGTTTCGTTTTCGTTTGACACTTAGCAGCTTGACATCAGGAAAACCATTTGTGGCTTGTGATACATCACTCTTCAACCGCGAGTGCGACAGTGCATAATTCATTAAATCTGCATCCTTTTATGAAAATGCATCATCGACTCTAGAGACAACGAACGCGGCAAACGTGGCCGCGCGTTTTATCGCATGAATTACGAAAAGTGCGTTTATTGAACATTCAATTGATTTTCGCTGTAGTACACTCTATAAACGAATCAATCTATTGAATAAATTCCCGCGGAAGCACTTTTCTGTCGAGACCGCGGATTTTGTGCGTGCACGACAAAAAAGAGTGGGCGCAATTTAAAACGGCGAACAAATTAACAGATTCGGAAAATATTTTATTGTCCACTTGTGTGCCCGAATTGTTGGGGAACGAAAGCAATTTCAATTTGGTGACATTTTTCTTCTGCACTCGATGTGCGTGCTATTAATCTTCGACACGCGAACGATAGACCTTTTCGAATAAAATATAATATATAGAATACATTCATACATGCAACACAATCCTGTATTTGCAAAATAAACCATCTGGTTTAGAGCATTAATAAATAAATATATATAATTTTATTTATTAATTTCTCCCCTAAGATATTTTTTATGGTACTCCTATGGTACTCCGCTTTTTCTGTAGACCTTAATGAAACACGTGAAACTTTCAATTAATTGTCATAAACTATATCGCGGAGTTTTGCAATATTTTCATAAATATTGCAAAATAATGGAGCCTAGCCTGTTTAAACAGTTATGTTCAAAAAATAATGATTAATTTCAAGACCGCGAAGCAATAATTGTAAAACAAGAGATATGGATGATTTTGGTCCTTTCGGTAATTATCCAATATTAAAACTTCAGATACAGACATTTTAAGAAACGATCTTCAACAACTTCGAGAATAGATTAGGCACCAAAGATTGTCACGAAGCTCGCAATTCTTCATATTTTCAAAAAGGAACTTCAAAGCGCTAGAGATATTTCATTTTAGCAAAGGTAAATTCGGCATATTATTGTTCCTTGTTTTCGAAACGAGTATTGTTACGTAGTTTCTTGGCGAGGTTGTTCGCGACCACGCGCACCGCAAATCATAAGCGTCAGTCATGGTAGCTGATGACATGTGTTTGACACACTGTGGAAGACTTTCTTTTGAAACGACCGCAGACTGCGATAATAACGGCGGAAGGGAGATAAGAAAAAAGATGAGCTAGCAGAAGCTGGAGGAACTGCGGATTCCGTGACGGTAGAAATGTGTCTAGACGCGTGGAACGCAACGGTTGCACAGTGCACTCCAACTGCAGCGAATCCCTGCAGCCCTTGGCGGATGATAACATCGCGAGCCCGGCATTTAATAAAATACCTGTCAGGTTTCTTCGAACGAATAAAAGACGCGTAATGAAACAGAAACATCTGTAAATAATTTCTTATTTTCTGCCTCTCGTATTTCATGCGTACATTAAGAAAATTAACAGCAAACGAGCTGTTTAATAATAAATAATAAAATATGTAATATAAGGGGACAATGTTTAGAAGTGATCATTTTCTCGAACTGCGAGATTAATTCTTCGTATTGTATTTCTTTTCTTTGTGTATTATATTTTGTAAAATAATTTTGTAATCTTGTGTAGGATATTCTCTGTTAAATTTTGTCACATTTTATTTATCGCTACGGTATTGACGAGTATACTTGACATAATACAAAATGTCGCCATTTCTTCATGACGAGTAGATTATGAGAGAAGAATATATGTTTTGTTATTCTTTATTAACATATATTTTATAAAAGTGTTGTATTTAAACAAAATACGAGTAAAATTAAACATGTTTTATAATCACAGTTAACTTATGTATAAAAAGATTGCAACAACGAACTGGTTAAATCGAAAGACCTTGTCTTTTTAATGTTGTTATATAAATTGCAAAACTGACAGATTGAATATAAAAGAGAATATATTGGAAAGAATAATAAATAATTGTAATAACGGATTTTGATCTAGTCTCTGCACGTTCGGAAGAGTTATAAATAAAGACATTGATATGTTAATAACTTTCTTCAAAGCAGTTTCGCAGCGAACGAGAATTCAGAAATAAAAAACCGCTATCTAATAGTATGATGTAAACTGTAATAAACTAGAATCATAAATGATAAATCATTCCGTACGGTTTAGTTTCGTTTTACAATGCCGCGACGATTCCTATTACACCGGGGATGAGAATCGAAATAAAACGAATGTTCCAATATCAACGAGCACGGCAGCGAACGTGTTAATTTTCCAATGATCGGACGTAGAACGGTACGCGTTACCGTTACAGAATTCTGTAATGAGCAATGTAATCGATACGGCTGCGCGTGAATAAACACACTCGAACAGATCGAAGATCATTATAACTAATAGCCTGTTCGAGTGAGTTTTCCTCTTGTTGTAAAAGGGATAATTAATGACGATAACGGTGAAGGGTGAAGATAAAACAGTCCGGTCGATAGGGACTTCGTTCAAGGATAGTAACTTTCCCGGGGAAGGTCGCATAGTTCACGGCGTGAATAATTAACAGTTTTATGAACCGCGAATTGGCACACGTGTCGCGAATCAATTCGCCGGCGAACTCCAATTAACAATTTTCCGTTTCCTTTTTGTTACGTTTCTGGCGAATTTCAATTGTTTCTGGTTCGAACGGTCTAACGGTCGGGTGCAAATTTACTATTTAAAACCGGACTGTTGGTTTATGTGCAAAATGAAAATTGTCTAACTTAACTGTAAGAAGTGATATATTTGCATATAATAATTTATTTTAATATTAAATAATTATATTTATTAAAATATTAAATATAATATTTTATCTATATCATAAGCAATTGATCTGGATAAAAAATCCGAATAATATTTTATTTGAATAAAAATTTATTCCTATAGTGAGAGAGAGAGAGAGAGAGAGAGAGAGAGAGAGAGAGAGAGAGATTCATACGGAATATAATCGATTTAAGTAAAGAATTATACAAATAAATAGCCAGAACAATTTATGACGAATGATCGTTATTCGAATAAAATATTCGGCAGTAAAAAAAATTCATTCGGATAATTATCTTAGATAAATATTTATTCGAAACAATTTGAGAATAATGCCCAACTACGATTTCAAATTGCACAAAGCATCCGGATTTGTTCGAGAATGCGTGCGATTCATCGCAAAGTCTCCTTTTAAGAAACGTTTTTATTGACTCGCAGCTGCCGCGGCAGTGTATTCAGCAAAGAAAAATGATGTTCTCGATGGAGAAATATTTTATTCCACGGTCAGCGTTTCTTTTTATATCCTGCGTACCTCGGGGTTGTGTAAAATGTAAAAAAAGACACTGGTCTTGAAACACGGACGCTTTGAACTTCAATGTCAATGTAAAGGCAACACGTGAGCGGGCAGAAAATAATCACACATCGCGTCGTAACACTCCTACCCTTCGACTCAAAGCTCATCAGCCATAATGCAGCACGTGACTTCCTACTTGAGCATCTTGGAATATTCGAATGATCTGATCGCATAAATATCTCCAAGAATTATGCGAATTCGCAGAAAATCGCTGCTGAAACTTCGAACTGCGACTTTTACGCGGAGTTTTAGTTGCATGTTTCTGCAACGTTTCTTCTTTTACTTTGGAAAAATTCGAGTTTTCGTTTTCTTGCCAAATACTTTCGGTAAATCAGACGACGCTGAAACTGCGGAGAATTAAATCCAAGGTTTCACCACTTTTCCAAGATATTTATGTCTTACGAATGTATAAAAGTAGCTCAGGCTAATAAAATGAACGCGATTTTCTAGGGTAGAAATACGGGTTTCTTCCGTGCTTATACGATTTAACGTTTATGCATTCCTGAAACTTTGCTTCTTTTATTTTTGCATTGGAAAATGCATTTCCTTGGTTCTCGTTCATTGTTTAGGCGAAATTTACTCAAAAACAGGCCATTATTTTTAACGCTTTACGATCGTGTGTCGGACCAATCTCGGCATTAATTGTTGCATCAACGATTACTTATTTTGCTGAACTACGCTATAAACAATGGCACAATCACGTGGTGTGTAAAAACACCTGAAATATTTCTCATGTCTCGAAAAGGGATCGAAAAATTTGGATGGTAAAAATTATTCACGAAAACTCGTTTATTATTAAATTAAGTATAACACTCGTGATCTATAACAAAATTAAAGGGAGGGAACACATAGTTAAAAAAAGGTCGAGTTTTATTGTTTCGATTACAATTAATAATTATAATATATGGAAAATTGTTATCCTTACCGATAACCATTATATCGATAAAGAAAATTAAATTTCAACGGCTCGTAACAGTACATTGTATACGAAACATAATTAATTTCTTTTCTCCCAGATTTTATGTAGTTTCTTCAACTGTTTGGTTTTTAGCGACTATACGATCCGTTACGTTATCCTTAGTCGAGGAAAAAAAACGAGGAAAATACTATCCCGGAGTCTCTAACTATTCCTAGGGTGTAAAAAAGAAGGTGTAAAATACCAAGAAACAATCTAGTAACCTTTACACGAACCCAGGTTCTTCTAAAGAAATTCACGGAAAGGATAATTGGAGGAAACTCGAGCCTCTTTATCGAATTATTTTAGTCGGGTAAAAATAAAATGAAAACTTGAGTAACCTTCATAGAAGTTTTCGCTTTGCCGAGCGCTACGATAGCGCAAACGTCCGCGGTGTTTATTAATAAATGAAAGGGCGGCTTTACCGGTATGATCGATGTGCCGATGATGATTCCTGACATACGGAGGCGCCGGATGCCTGGGCTGCATGTCCCAGTACGTGTTCCGGCTGTTCCCAAAATTGTTCACCCGTGGCTGCTGCGAAGGCGAAGTTTGCTTGCAAGGCAACCTGGCCATGGCAGTCATCATCTTCTTCTGCACCACCTCGCCTACCTAAAAATTAATCACCTCATCGGTGCCCCGGTTTGTTGCGCCGTCGTTTCAACCCCATCTTCGAGCGATCCTCACCACTCTGGAACAGACAAAACAAGGATTTAACATTGGAACCAATATTTGACGCGTTCTACGGAAAATCACGTTATACGAAAACAGTATAGTCGCAGTATCTTCGTTGCGTCATAGAAATTCACATTTTAGGAACTCGCGTTATACGAGAGTCTACTGTACTTGATCGACACAGAAAGTTTACTTATTAGCCTGTGAATTTTTATGGAAAATGAAAATGGTTTGCATCAATTAATAGAAACAGGGGTTCAATATAAATGTATTTCTCCCATACAGGGTGTCCCATAATTATATTAACACCCTCGGAAAGGGTTGATTCCTGGGGTCATTTCAAGTAACTTTTTCCTCAGCGAAAATGCAATCCCGAGGCACCGTTAACGAGTTATTAACGAAAAACAGTGACCAATGAGAGGCGAGATCAGCTGGCGCGAGGCGGCCGAGTCAACAGCGCCAGCGGTAGAGCGGTCGAATCCCAGTTCCGCTGATTGGCTCGGCCGCCTAGCGCTAGGCGAGCTCGCCTCTCATTGGTCAGCGTTTTTCGTGAATAACTCGTAAACAAAGCCGCGGATTACATTTTCGCTAAGGAAAAAGTTACTTCAAATGATCTCAGGAATCACCCCTTCGCAGGTATAAACCTAATTATAAAACATCAAATAACCTTGTATATTATACATATATTATATACTATAGGTTATATATATAATATATAATCTCAATGTTTTAGTATGTTTTAGTCTTGGGGTCGTTCTAGAGTTAATAATCGCTGTCAGTGACGTTATGGCCGCCACGGAACAGGAAAATTCCGTGTGAATGAACGCGCGAACGCCTGTACCGTACACAAAATTGTTTCTTAATTGACTGATACGGTTTACGAGGCTCGGTACGATCGTTGCGCAACAATAGAAAAATGTCATTTACACTGTCGCCGGGGATAGGCAGCCGTGGCACAAAGGATCTGCTGCACCTTGTTAAATATTTAATCAGCCACACGCCTCCCGATTCTTCGCGCTGCCCTATTCTTCGAGCACAATGACATCTGTATTGGGCTACCTGTATTCAGCAGGGACACCCAGCATTTCCCAGGCTTTGCCTGCCTATTGTCGACACCGTTTTAAACAAGCATGTACAAATGTCGCGACGCGACACACACACGCACATACACGCACACACACACACAGACATTTCCGAGACGCGAATATAACCACCGCGCTATACCTGTTATTTTTTCTTTTATTTCTTGTTGCAATTCCGCTAACGACTCCCTTTCAGATGGTAAGCGAAGCTTGTTATCAAACCATGGATTAAGGCGCAGCGAAAAAAGTGTTCAGCGGGCCACATGGAATTTTCGGTGCTTTGTAGCTCCGCGCGTGGAAATAATTTTCTAACGGATTAGAAACGCTGGCAGCTTACACCGAATTGTCCACTCGCGCGGTGCGTACACGTTTCAGACAAATCCGTGCAAATGAAAACCATGTGAAAAGCATGGAGTGCAACTGTGCACAGTCCATAGGGAAAATTGCACCTATAGATACCAAAACTAGAAGAATTTTTGAACAATTCATGTATGGAAATTATCGAGCGAAATTCTATATTTTCTGGCTTGGTCAGAATAAAAATCTTATTCGGATGAATTGTTATCTAATAAATTTGTTTTCGCTTGGATATTTATTCGATAACCTATATTTATTTATTTTCTATCCTTATTATTATTTCCTTATTTCTATCCTTATTTATATCCTATTTCCTTATTTCTATCTTTATTATTATTATTTCTATCCTTATTTTCTATTCTTATCTATTATCCGTCGTCCGAATAAAATTTAGTCGAACTCTGATTAGGTGTGCTAAATTAACGTGCGGAAAACGAAAACTATTTCCAATAATTGGCACAATGCTAATACCCTATTCGCTGAAGACTTAAGAGGACAGCTACGAAAGATAAAAGCTTATCCGTGCATGTTGCGTCATTACCTAGGAACAATGTTGGTGCTCGATTCGCGAGAAATATATTGCTCGCTGCTATCATTCGCGAATAATAAGAACAGAGAGAAATAAGTGATATTTACGAAACTGGATCTACGTAAATCGGTCGACCTATGGGAAAATGTATCGGGAGAGAGTGATACAATTATTCTTATATGATCCGCGCGCAGACATTCTCTCTAGATACTGACGCAATATCGGCGGATAAACTTCTAACACCTACAAATGAACTTCTTGTTGCATTTCTTGTAGCATGACTTTGCTAATCGTGCAATCGCTGCATCTATCAACAGCACGCAGACCGCGAAAATGATTGTTTAGCAATACATATTAGTAAAAACAGCAGAAAGATTATGTCAAGGCAGAGAACGAACTTTCATTTGGCTCCAGTGCTTTTCAATAGAAGCAAAATATTTTTAACTTTCGATAGAGATTCGCGCGATCTAACTGTTCGGCGATCAGAAAAAGCTTGTCGTTTTCGCTGCCACACCTTGAAAACAAAATTAACCCCTTGACAATCAATGTAAAACTTTTTTCTCGTCTAACTGAGATAAGATCTATCGGAATAAATATCGATAAAATTTTCTGGGCGTCTATAGGCGCCCTCCGTGTCAGAAAACAAAACAGCGTCGAGCGCCTACAGGCGCTCCGAGTGTCACAAACGCAAAATTCCTAAGCGCCTATGAGCGTTCACAGTAGCCTGGGGGTTAGAGATAATTTCGTTTTCCCGTAGAGAGTTTTATTGTGTTTACGATGATTGGTTGATAATAAACAGTGCCAACTGTTTTCGCAAAGCCTCGCTTCCGAGAACATGCGTACGGCCGTCAGCTGTCTTATTCCATCGGCGAACACCAGCGTTCATCGCGAACACATAAATGATTTAATTAGTAGGCGAGGAACGTGTATACATACGAATCAATGGTAATCATTAGACAGTGGATCTTTGTGCGTTTATAGCTCGTAAAAGCTGGAAAAAGAACAGCACAATGCGAACCGTGAGAGAACCTATCGCGAAATATCGCCCTAAACTAATTTCCTTTGTTACGTTTACGAGAAAGTACGCGAGCGGTGCCGTTGCGTATTCATCGCGGGCACTATCACTGCCGATAAAACGAAGAAACGTCGCAACAATTAAATATCGTTCGATTAAACGATATTCAAAGGAAATCGAGAGTGTAATTTCATCGGGGGAAAATGCTCGAGCGTCGAATACAGTTCTGGAAAACGGTCGTTCCAACGAAGCAATTAATACGAGATGAAAAATTGGAGATTCGTTATCTCGAAAACGCATTATGCGCGGGATGGCAATTATTTTCGTAACGGTGATCGTATATAAATAATTTGTTCCGTTCATATTTTCTCGCGATCAGACAGCCGGAACGATTCATCAAACGTATCAAAAATTTATCAGCGCTTGTATGTCAGTCATCGGACCGCGAAAGGCAGCGTTCAATCACAGCCCAGTTACATTGCGATTACCATCCATTAGACTGTCATATGCGTTTCTTAATCGGAACGATACCACACCGGCCATAAAGTGCCCCGCACTCTGATCACCGATGTATATTTGATCGTAATATCAACGATAATTCTCATGCTCGCCAATGCGACGCAAAGTGCATCGAATGATGGAGATTCAGGGAGGAAAATTACGACCTCGACTTCATTTCGATGTCTTATCAATTTTGGTATTACCGATTTAGTAAACGATTGTCTAATTAAGTTAATAGTGAGTTAATCAATGACTATTCGACGCCAAGTGCATCGAATGATGGAGATTCAGGGAGGAAAATCACGATCTCGTTTCGATGTCTTATCAATCTTGGTATTACCCATTTAGTAAACGATTGTCTAATTAAGTTAATAATGAGTTAATCGATGATTATTATTTACTTCGGCAACCAAGAAACTAAGTAAGCACAGGATTTTACCTTTATTTGAGCCTCCGAATAATTGACTGCTTCTGTTACAACGATTTTATCGATTCAATTTTGTTCCTCGCTGTGTAAGGAACATCTCTTTTGATTGATACGGTGTATGCAAAAAAATCCTAGAACCCGCGCTGACTTTCTCGATTACTTAATATTATGTTGCAAGCGCCAGGATCTCGACGCGTGGCAGGCTCATTAATATTTGTTTCAATTACACGAAGCATCGCCAAAGATAGAGTACCGGGACTGGAGAGAGTTTCTTCATTTTTGTGGCATCTAGAAGGCACTGGTTGACTGGGCGATCACGATCGCGTTACAATCAGATTAAATGTTATCGCAGCCGACACACGGGTGCTTGAACTTACGATGACAGGGAACCGCGATTCGATCACCGGAGCAAACGATACTACATGTTGACAGGATGGAATGCGATCGTGCGGCGGCGCGAGGGCCGGATAACGCCCCGAAGAGTCTGCGCTACCTAGCCACGAACGAACCGCGATTATGCCGCAATTAAACAACCACCATAAATCAAGTTGCCGATACACACACCGGGAATAGTGAAAGCACCGCGAAGCGTCCTCCTAAGTGATCGCCCGCGCGCCCAACGTCCTGAGAAAACCGCCGCGCCGCGGTGAAAGCAATCGGCCGATCTCAAAAGTGAACTAAAACCGCGGTCAGACATCCAATACGGAGCGGAGTGCTCGATTATCCAAATCGATTGGAAAACATGGGAAAACCGGGAATCGTGTTTTGCATCTGGAAAGAAGAATCTAAACGATTTGAATGGAATTGTTTACCTGCGACACGTTTACGTGTTCACGTTAAGGAAGAAATCTAATGTCGTGGTTCTAGTATACAATGTGAACTATAACCCAAAAATTCGCATTGCTTTATTTAATCCTTTGCACTCGAAGCTATCTTTAACTGTAAATATAACTTACAGTATCTTTATTTTATATGACAAAATGCATTTTATGCATATGAAATTGATTCGGGACTCGCACAACAATTACACTCTTAACAACTTTTTAAAATTCAATCCTTGTTAATATAAAAATTATCTTAAAACGTGATGTAACAAATTTTAGTG